GTCTTGCTATTTTTGGAAGAACTGGAGAACTGTCAAGTCACATCTGGAACATAAAAAAATATATTAAATCACATACTAATAAAAGGCATTACAAATGGGGAAAGAGTATTAATTATGCCAAGATACTTTTCTATACAGAATTTTCAAAGAGAGTTAATTAGTTCCATTTATTTCATTTCTTGATTGTCTTAAATTTGAGCCTTAAATGCACCATCATTCAATAACAAATTAAATAAAATGTCTAAATCACTCAGTGCTATAAGAATACATCTATTTGCTGCTGAAACAAATAAACAAACAAAACAGATGTGGAAGCAATAAAAAGAATTTTGTTACATTAGATTAACATAGTTTCAAATTTGGACTTGGCTATTACCAAATACAGGATCTGAAGAGTACCCACTTATTTTGTTTTTACAGTATTGGTTTTTAAACACATATACACACAACTGTTTATATAAAACAAAATAATTTAACATTTAGAAAAATTGTGTCATAATAGTTTACAGTAATAGAAACATTAAGCTAAAGACATTAGGCCGCTAAATATTGAAATCTTGACATTTTACTGTCAAATTGTTCAAGAAAAATGTCTTGAAGCCAATGAGTGTCCACTATAGAATGGTATTTGTTGTTAGGATCTTAAATGCCAGACAATTTAAGGAAACAGTTCAGATTTTCCAAAGAATCAATCCTTTGATATGGCAACATAATTTTACAAAAACCTTCATTACCAGAAAAACATAGTATTCTATTCACATTATATAACTATTCTTCCATCATGCATCCAGAAACTCTGTATTCTATTAGCAACTAAGCATTTATTTGCTGGTGCAAACTTTGGGGTAAAAAACAGATCTTTTGTGAAAAATGGCTGCCAGAATATCACCATTCCTCAATTACATTAACACCAGGTTAACTTCATAAAGAAGCCATTTATTAGAAGACAATCTGAGTTACTTAAAGTCAGACCAATCCAAGTCAGACCACCAATTATAGCAGTGCAAATGTTTCATATGACGTTCCATGTACTGTGAAGGGCTGTTACTTCTTTTCTCACCTGAGAAGCAAATCTCTGAGGTACTCCAACAGAATGCCCTTTTAACATGTGCAGTGCATACCGAACTGGTGTTAATTGTTACAGCCTTCATAGCATAAAGCAAAAAAAAAAAAAAAAAAGCCTAGGCAGCTCATTGTAAAGTGGCATCTGCACCGGACATTTTGCCCTGTTGTGATAGAACTTAGCTTGATCTCAAAATGCACTATTTAAAACATACAGGTCTGTCTGTCTGTAATCTAATGGCAAAACTTTGGAGGACTATTGCACCTGAAATGGATGGATGGAGGGAGGGAGGAAGGGATAGCTATGCAAGGAATGTAAGCAGAATGATAAATTATTGGGATTAGAAGCAACAAACTTGTATTGGTGGAAAGAGATGATATTATTTACTTTCAGGGCTGCCTTGTGCTTTTCTAATTTGTATAATATAAACAAATAACATATTTAGTATTTTAAATATATACATCTTTTGATAATCAACAAGTTTTTCCTGGTTCACATAACAATAGATGATAAGGTCTTACTCCTTTGGAGTAAAAATTCTCAGATATACAGAGAAATTAAGCAGAAGGAAGAGAATGTTTTCTAGCTTAGCATTCTTTCCATTGTGCTTTCAGTGTGTAATGAACACTGAACATCATTTCTTATCTAGCTGTTTCAGCTACTCTTTGTGGAAGAGAAGAAACAAAGAATTAAAAACTTACTGTCTATTTGCTGTCATCTAGTGATTCTCTGGATATTTGCAACCAGACAGAATCCTAGTTTCAACATGTTTCTAAATATTTTTCAGGAAAATAGCAGAAAACAAAAAAGGTGCATGCCTGCAAGCCAGACCTGATTACGATCATACAAGATTCAAACTACATTATGGCATTCTACTGAGGTCTTTCTTATTGCCTCTTCCTTTTAAAAAAACATTAGCATAGGACAGTGCAAAGATCAAATGAAAATGATGGCAAATGACAGAATTTAACCTTTTCAACACACACAGGCATTTGTGCACACATGCACAAACGCACACACATACACATTTACTGGATGCCTGAGTATACAAATTTGATAATAAATTCCCCCACTGCCTTAATTTAGTTCTGTATCAGAGCCCAAATATAACTATATAGGGCATTCCAACAGTCCCAGTGTTAGCTCAGCCTACTAGGGCAAGACATGTACCAGGGCCAGACATTTTCAGCCTCCCAACACATTTAATTTTGTAGCATTATAGATGCTTCCTTACATGCATTTTGAAAACATTAATAGAAATCTCAGTGTTACTCAGAAGTCTTATATGGCTTGGTGCACCTATTTCATTGCCATGAACTTCCACAATTTAATTAATCTTTAGCAAATGCTACACCTATTCTTTTCAAATGTACTATGTGAACAAGTCATTAAGCAGGCCATCTTATTAGGAAGCTTTCAACCATTAAAAACATGCTGAATTAGATTCCAAGGGCTGCTTCTCAAATTACATTTCTTTAAAAAAAAAAAAAAAGGAAAGCCTGTATATCAGTCCAACGTATAAATCCTGCTATGTCCCTTTCTTCAATTAGAAAAATAAACAACTAGTTCTGAGAAATGTCAAGAGGATATAGAGATTGAAAGAGAACTCATTTTTGTATTGTCCTTATCAGAGAATATACAGGGCAAAGATCTGAGCCTGTACTGACTTTCAGAAGCAATAACTACAGGAAATTGAAGTAACAAGAGAAGATATTCTAGGATAACTTTGTACAGTAACCTATCACCGTAGGTTACTCACCCCCAGTGTTCTTAAAGAATGGAAAGAAGTGAAATGACTACTCCAATAGCAAAATATTTAACTTTTCCCCCCAGAAAATACTTATTTCCAGAGAACAAGAAAGTTATCAATTCAACACTAATTTCCTAAAAGGGAATGAAAGAAAATTATAGGCTGGTCATTTTTCACACTTACCACCGTTGTAATATCCACATGGTCACATGATCAAAATTCAGACACGTGGCAACTGACTCATATTTATGACAGTTGCAGTATTTTGGGGTCATGTGATCCCCTTTTGTGATCCTCTGACAACCAAAGTTAATGGGAAAGCTAGATTCACTTAACCTAACTGTGCTGATTCACTTAACAACTGTGGTAAGAAAGGAGGTAAAATGAGGCAAAACTCACTTAACAAATGCCTCGCTTAACAACAGAAATTTTGGGCTCAATTGTGGTTCTTGAGTCAAGGACTACCTGTAAATTTAAGCAAATGTAAATTCATGTACAGAAGAGCAAAAACTATCATGACAGGTGCCCTGATATGGCCTCGTCTGTCTATAATTTTGAAGACTGACAGTTACCTCCAAATTGCAGACAGTATGCTTACAAATTCAGTGCAGGGAATTTGGCAGTAAAATATGTCTTCATCTCCCACTTCTGGGCAGCTTAGAAGTAGTTGGCTACTGTAAGAATGAAGTGTTGCAACAAGATGCCAGATCTGTCAGGGGTGTCTGTATGTAAAAGTCATATTTACCTACAGAGCCATATCTAGGGGCTTCAGAGGCTATAATATTTATGTTTATTAAGAGACAGGAGAAGCAATAAGTGAGAAATATTCTTGAACGCAGAGAGGAAAATATGACTCCAAATCCACAATTAATAAGTGAAATCAAAATGAACTTGAAGACAGAAGGGAATAAACCAGATACCCTACAGATAGGTTAGATCAACTTCCATTATCTTTTCCCACTGAAAATGGCTGTTGGGCTCACAAATATTGAAGCCTACAAATATCTGGATGGCATCAAGTTGCCGCTATTTGACTAAAAGCCAGCCCTCCTACTGTACAGGTAGTCCTCGACTTACAATCATAATTGGTAATACTGGTTTCATTTTAATATTGCAAGCCACCCAAGGTCACCTCGTGGTGAGATAGGCCGTGAACAAATTTAATAAAGAATATAAATAATTGACTCCACAATTATGGTTGCAAGCCACTTCAGTCATGCAGTGACATGTGATCAGACCTGATTTTATGACATTTTATGCGATGGTCATTAAAGTGTCTGGTATGTAATGAATTTTTCCCAATGAGCAATTTTCGCCAGAAACCGGAATAAATGCCAAAAAATAGCAAAAAAAAAGTCACAAAACAGTCACATTACAATAGAATGTAGCAAACAGCTATAAAAGATGCCCAAAATGCAATCACGTGATCATGGGTCTGTGTATGAGTATGTGTTCAGCCTTTGTAACTCGTAAGTTGCTCTGGAAACATCTGTCACAACTTCACTTCTTAAGAGACCAGTCATAAGAAAAGGACTACTTGTAGTCATAATCATCATGCAACTTCTTCTGAGGTAAAGTGGGAAATTTTAGAAGATATAGACCATGACTCTGAGGAGCTATAAACTTCAATAGAAAGTTAACCAAGATTTTGAAAAATGTAGTGAACTGTTCTTTTTAATGCAAGATAAAAGGAAATGTATTAAATATATTATTTATAGGGACAGCTATTGATTGACTATAAATGAAATAAATGTACTTTTTGACCTGACTGCCTCCTACTGTCTGAAGTGTAGTCTGCAGCATTCTACTCAAAAACCAACTGTGGCTTCAGTCTGAAAGAAGCTGCAAATCTGTTGCACAAAAACAGGGGTTAAAGATGAAGCAAGTGGATGCTTTTTAATGAGTATGGCCCAAATGGGTAGCTATCAGGAACTTATACACCATTCAGGTGGGCAAAAGTCATGTTTTCAAAGCAGATGAAATGCTTACACCACATAAAAAAAGTACACAATGTATTCATCAGCATCTGTGAATTATTGCAGTAACAATTGGAATATTACCGTTGCATATCTAACAGAATGGTGCATATTAAGAGTACAGAAATTATTTCACACATACTTCAGGCTGAAATTTGTAGCTGCTGAAATGAAGACCTCAAAGGCAAAGTAATGATGACATCACAATATGCACAAATCAAGAACTGCATGTGGGTTTATTTTACATTTGAGAAAACAGTGGATTTCATTGCGTGAACCAAAAAGGTACTGTACAATATTAATGATAAAACATCAAAATGTATAATTCATAGTGCATTGTTTGCTTTATTTTTATTTATTTTGTCAGATAGCTCCTTTGAGTACATGCATCTGGGAAGATGCAGGTGCCAGTAAAATTTCTCTATTTAACTCAAGCTGCAGGAATTCAATTTTATTCAAAAAAGTGTGTTTTTACATTATATACACAGAAATTGAATATAAAATGACAATATAAAATGTTAAGAGAGAAAGCATACAGCCAGAAGGTACAAAGGAAGTTGAACAATTTAAAATGGTACAATATGCAACATGTACTGCTTTTTTTTTTTTTTAACCTAAGCTGATGCTGGCAATTTACAAGGATCAGAATCCAACACTTGCCCCATTTTTTTTGTTGTTTTGTTTCATTTTCATGTACCAATGCAGCACACTATAGAAAGATCAGCCTGTACCAAAGCTTACATTTGTAAATAACTATAAACTGCAGTATCTTACAGGAAAAAGAAATAACTTTTTTACATTTTTAAAATAACTTGCATACTTCTGATGCCAGTCAAGTGGCAATGTTCAGCGTTCAGAGGGTTTGGACATAGTGTCAAATTGGTTTGTGATTTTTACTTTTTAAAACATGGGTCATCGTTCTCCAACTCCTTGAGCATTTAATCACTTTTTATAATTATTCAAGAATGGCATGCATCTTTTCTTTGCAAATCAAGACTGCATTTTTTGGGGGGGGGAAAGGCTTTTTGACATTTAAATATAAGTGAATTTGACCCAGTTATATTAGGATGAAATGCCTTTTTTGAAGAAAAAAACACACCTTCTTTTGGGAAAGGCACAGAATACTATTATAGTCCTCAGAGGGTTAAAAACTGACACTATGGGGTTCTGTGACCTTTATTGTCATGGCAACTTTGTAATTTTAGAATGTCTTTTTGTTATTGTTCTTTGTGTCTTTCTTTACGGCTAAATTAATGTCTCTCAATAGTGTCTCCCACTATAGTCTACAAAAGATAGCTTAACATCAAGGACACATGTTGAAAATAAAGGTCAGACTTTGACTCACAGAAAAAAGAAGGGGGGAAGGAAAGGGAAAAAAAAGGTTTTAAAAACATGCACAGATCAGACAAAGAGCATATAAATATAACTACAAAAGTATGTAAGAAAAACCAAGCTCCAGATAGGCAGTTCAGCAACAAAAGTAAGACTGATTTCAGAGGCTCAGATCAGGCCTAGTGCAGTACTATGAAGTTTAGTGCAATGTTCCTGTGGTCACTTGCATACCTGGTTGCTTACCTGGACGCTAATGTTTTTCTAACTCAGTTACATAGATCAGATGGTCCTCGGGGGACTTCCCATGTGTTTTACTAAGGTGCAGTTTGACTGCATGCTTGCTTGCAAAAGTTCGATTACAGAGCTTACACTGGAATGTGGATCCTGAGTCCTCCTCGGCAATTCCAAGTGAGCCTAAAGTCTTATTTGAGAGGACCTTGGAAACATTTTGCTGTTCTTGTATCTGATTAAGGGGCAATTTGGACAGATCCTTCAAACTGAACCCTAAATGTGTCTCCAAGTGACTTATATATGTGGAAGCAGTCCTGAATTGAGAGGCACAATCATTGCAAAAGAAAACAGGATGACCTGTATCCAAATTCTTTAAAAATTTAGTTCCACCTGTCCTCCTTAACTGATACTTCACATTGGCCAGCCAGTGGCTAATTGTGGTCATGGAAAGACCAGTAAACTTCGAGATATGAACCCGTTCTTGTGGGCCTAGGTCCGACATAATGTATTTGCCTTCTGGTGTCTCCCTCAAACTGGAAGCAAACTGGGCTTGAAGGATGAGAAGATGCTGAGGGTTCCAGTTTGACTGCCTACCCTTCCTCTTGTGTACTGGAGACAGTTCGTCCAAAGCTTCTTCAAAGCTACTTCCATCTGCATCAGATTTTTCTGACACAGAAGATGGAGTCGAAGACTTGGGAGTCAAGCGCCCTGTGAGGTTCTTTACCATGTCAGAAATATCCATTAGGGCACTTTCTCTTAGAGGAGATGAGACAGAATCAGTCACACTGGAAATCAGCGGTTTGGTTTTAGACTTTGTTAAATCAATAGGCTGATCGCTGTTCTCGTAATAGTACCGGTCAATAGCCTCAGCTTGCTTGGATGGAGTTGCAGGGTAAATGGGTTTGTCCAACATGCTGTTACTAATTTTATATAACATGGCCAAAGGATCCAAAGAAGGACTTACAGGATTAGAGACTTTTCCTAAGTGGGTATTCATGATGGACTGCAAAGCACTCAGAGGGTTAATGAATGATTGCTCTGGTGAATGATCTGTAATGATACCTAAGTTATTACAGCCATTTGTGACTTTTGCTTTAGGTGGTTCAGTACCATTAAGTGCATGCGGGTTAGCTAGCACATCCTTTTTGACCTTCTGAACCTCAGTCTCAGGACTCTGTTTTTGCTGTTGTGGCTGCTGATGTAGTAGTTGTTGTTTGTTGCTTTCCTCTGATTTTGGAAAGTCTTTGATTTCCTTAGGAGCAGGGGACAATGGCTTGACTGGAGAACATTTTTCTTTTTCTGAAGGCTTTTCTTCTTTTTTAATATGGATTTTGCCCGTGACCTTCTCTACTAGCTCTTCCATGGCAGAGACATTACTTTTATGAGGAGGGGGTGTCAGATTGCCTGGTGAATGGATTAGCGCACTGTGTTCTGAAGACAATGATTTTACACTGCTAGCATATGATGGCTGAATCTGAACACTCTGCACAGTTGGCTGAAGGGATTTAACGGTTCCTGGAAGCTGATAAGCTGCATGAATGCTAGGGTAGCCTCCCCAGGAAGGTGCTCCATTTTGAGCTTTGCTTATAGCTGTGGTCACTGTGTTCTCCAGAGATTTCAATATGTCAATTCCACCTTTTGGACTTTCATCTAGATCCTCTTCTCGGAGGTACTGATATACAGCTATTGGCTCAAATTTTTCTACAGAGTCCTCATTTTCTTCTTTAATTTTTTTGTCTGTTTCAGTAACAATCACCTGTTCTTTTTCTGGCTCCTTCTTTTCTTCAGAAGTTGTAAATCCGGCAGGAGAATCCGGCTGCTTTTTAATAGTTGTAGCTGGTAATCTTGTATGAGTGGTAGGTGGCAAAGGTATGGATTGTATCTTTTCTTCAACTACAGGGTCCAATACTAGCTGTTTTCCTTTCTTAGAGGCTGAATTAGTTACTTTCAAAAAATGTCCTGTGACCATCATGTGAGCAGTCAGCTGCTGCAAAGTGTCATGAGAACTGCCACATTCCATGCATTTTAATATCTGAGCTTTGCGGGCCTCAAACTGCCAAGTGTAGCTAGCACCATTTTGATAGCCATAGCGATTATTGGGAGTTACATATGGATTAGCAGTTTTCTGATCCTTTGCTGCTTCACTAAGTGTTGTCTCTGAAGTGATTGCTGTTGGCTCAGGTGAGCAAGGTGAAGCCAAGTCCTGAAGTGCTCGTTTTTTGGTGGAAGGCACCAGTTTGGTGATGGCTGGTACTGGTTCCTTCAGAGGCACTTTCTGGTAATGCTTTGTTTTTATCATATGGACACTTAAGTCTTGTAAAGATTCAAATGAATGACCACAATACATGCATTTTAGTACTTTCTGGGCATCCTCTTTGCCTTCCATTTCCATAAGTGATCGCTTTCTGGGCTTTGACCACCGTTTGGTTTTTTCAGATTCTTTATCTTGGTTGTCATCCCGGTAATGTCCAGTTTCATTCATGTGCACTGTAAGCTCTACCAGTGTATCATACGCTGCGCTACAGTCTTTGCACCGGAATTTACTGGCACCAGTGAACACAGAACCATACAGTTTATTGTTTTGCCGGTAAAGTTGCACTGTGCTGAACAGACTGGGCTCTGGTAGAAGTCCATATGAGGTCTGTTGCAGAGTTTTGGCCAAAGCCGCTTGATGCCAGTCATAACCTGAACTGCCACTGCTACTGTTACTAGTACTACTGATGCTTGTAGTGGTAGTAGTGTTGGTACTGGTACTGGCACTTGTATTTGGGGTACTGATACTAGTGGTGCTGTTAGGGGTGCTTTCTTTCTGGCTGTTTTCATTATTCTTTGCTTTTTTTAAATCTAAAGCTAAACCAGACCAACAAGATTCTGACAGTAAATTTGCATACACGGCTTTTATCTGTGCTAAGCTGTCCTGTGGGTAGGAAGCATTGTCCAAGCACTTGTGATCTTCTTTCTCTTCTTTAGAGGAAGTGCTTTTGAAATGGGCCAGTTGGTCACTGTTTTCACTGAATGGTGAACCATAACCTGCATCTTGATTTGTTGCTGTGCTGACTGGAGAATTCTGGTAACTCTGAGCCTCCTTGATCTCTGTTTCATCATGGCCCGTGTACTCAGTTTCTTGAATGTCCAGAGGCAGCCCATCATCCTCCCCACTTTCTTCATCAATTTCTGCTGCTTTGAGTTCTTCTTCAGGAACATAAGCTTGAAAGAAAGAGAAGAAAAGAGAGAGAGAGAAAAAAAACCAAGAGAACCATTAAAGAATGTAGCCATTTTCCCACACTGTAACTATTACAATAAATGAGGATTATATTCATAGCTTTTACTTCTGTGTGATAATATACCTTCTCAAATAAAGGCATTCCCTCTACAACTAAACAACTGCATGACACATCAGTAGAATTAATGTTTTACCAGCAGAATAACCAAGTCTGACTGAAGCTAAAATACATTCTTCAGTTACTTATTATGATATAATTATATTATAATTTTGCTGCTGTAAATAATCTGAGGATTATGACTTCAGTTTATTTACTCATTTACCAGATTGCTAAATGGATGGGTTATTGTATTTTTTTTTCACAACAATAGAAACTTATTCAGTTTAATTTCAATATATTACGTTCAACAATCCAGTTTATGCGACACAGGATGACTATAAAGTTCTATGAAAATAGAGTAAAACTAAAAAAATGCATACTAGAGTTTAAATTAAACACTAATTATTAAGTATTGTTATCATTAAGAGTTATATATGCCTATATTATTAATAATACAATGCAATTTTTTCCTTCATATTTTTCCCCAATTTTTCTTCTAAATGGTGCTGTTTTTACTTTATGGACTGAATCTGTAGTTCAAATAAATTTTAATTTTGTATTTAAAATTAACCCAAGTTAACTGAATGAGACAATCTATCCATAAAATACAATATAAAGGATCAACCTGGTAAAAGGCATACAACTAAGCATTTGAACCAGTGGTTCTCAACCTTTTTAACGCCACGACCCCCGACCGGTTGTAAGTTGAGGACTACTCAACCGGTCGTAAGTCGAGGACTACTCAACTGGTGCAGCACCGTTTGCAGAATGGGACTTTTGGCGGGCTCAGCAGGGCAGAGACAGCCTGGACAATTCCTATTGGCTTTTGAAAGCCAATAGAATTAGACTCTATCCAAAAGAGTCTATTCTTTTGGCTTTCAAAAGCCAATAGAATAAAAGGGAGTAGCACAGCTAAGGAAAAGGGGGAAAAAATGACGGACTGCGTTGTTTGGTAAACCCCGTGAAATGGTCGTTCGACCCCAAATGGGGTCCCGACCCACAGGTTGAGAACCACTGGTTTGAACAGAAGTAACAATAGGTACTAGGCAACTAAGTTTTCTTAACACATTAATGGAAGATAGAAATACATGCTAAAATATTAACAGATAAGTATTATTTTTACTGACATTTCTATTATTATGTTTCCAGGACTTATTTAAGTTCCAAAGTTACATATAAAGTGCCTCAAAATTGCCTCCATTATCACACTGTCCATATAGCAACATTGTAGAATAATTCCATTGGATGAATACTGTGTTCCATTAGAACAGTAACATAAGAATACTAATTAGTATTAATACTCCAGTACTCCAATTAATACCAATTATTTATTAATAGCTAACTGTAGAGCAGTAATTAGCACAAACAATAGAAAAGGCTTGAATCCTCAACTTTTACAAAAGTTGATAGAATTCTAAAAATTGGTAGAAGAACTATTGTGAGAAAGATCCCTTTCAGTCTGGATTCAGGCCAGAGTATAGGACGGAACAGCATTGGTCATACTCTTCAATGACCTCTGACAGGAGCAGGATGGAGATAGTGCATCTCTCCTTGCTCTTCTTGACTTCTCTCTGGGTTTTGATACCATCGATCATGTATATCCTTCTGGACTTGCTCTTGAAGTTTGGGGTGAATAGCATAAAGTTGGGCTGGTTCTCCTCCTTCCTCTAGGGCTGGTTTCACTCAATGTCAATGGGAGAGGGAGAGAAGGGCTACAGAGCCTAGTCCTTCTCTTTAGTTTAACTGGGTGCTGGTCATTCAATGGTTTGGGGTGAGGTGTCATCAATAAGTGGATGACATTTGTAGCTCTACTCTTAGCTTTCTCAGTGATGCCTATCTCATATATGGAGGCTGTGGGAACCTGATGGGGTACAACAGGCTTCAGGTCAACACAAACAAAACTGAATAGTTTTGGTCCACCTTCTGCTACTAGGTGCCTTCCATTGTTGGCCTTGGATGAGTGGCACTGTCTCAGACAGTGGATATTCTGGACTAATGATTCCAGCCCGAAAAACCCATAACTGGGTTGTGCACTAGCTGTCCTGGAACAAAATTCTGCTTACTATCTCTTATTACCTCATGACCTCCAGTCAGGATTATTGCAATGCACTCTACAGGACCACTCAGAAGCTTCAGCTGGTGCAGAATCAGTAACATGGGTGGTAAATTGTTCCAGTTTTTTGGCCCATGTAACAACACTACTTTGTGAGCTGCATTAGTTGCCAATGTGCCAAGGTACAATTCAAGGTTTTGGTTGTTGCCTTTTCTGCCATAGCTCCAGGCTCGTGAAACATTCTCCCTCTGGGTACAGAAAAGTCCTGACACTACTGGCTTTTTGTAAAGCCCTGAAGACCAGGTTCTCTGCCCAAGCCTGGGGCCCTGAGAATGTGCAGGGATCCATTTCTTGGTTATGCTAGAGATTTCCCTAAAAACTTCCCTTTAATTTACAATATAGTTCTATCCAACTAACTAATTAACTAACTACCACAAAACAAAGTACTTGCTGCAGTTAACAGTAAAATAAAATTCTACAACACAATACAGTTAAACTATCCCAAGTCAATAAAACCAATACAAAAACCAGATTAATCTATGTTTAGATTGAACGTTGAAACAAGATTCCAACAAGGTACCCAGATTGATATAGGGTAGCAATTCTTCAGGGTAGTCCAGACTGGGAAACCGAAACCAAGAATACTAATATGATATTTATTATAAGGTTATAATAACAGTCTTGCAAGTCTGAAACATTTCCCTCCTTCCCGGCCTTTATGTTCCAGAGAATTAGGGAGGGTCAATTTTGAAATGCTTTCTTCACCCCCATTTCTACTCTGGACCCAGATTTTTTTTATCACACCACTGTCTAGGTTGAAGCATTTTCTCCTGTCTCTTAAGGTTCTATCACAGCCCATTACAAATGGCAATATCCAATAATTCCCAAACGCTTTCCAGAACAATTATGTCTTGACCAGTTTCTGAAAGAAAAAAACAGGGAGTTATACAGGAATTATTACAGAGAAACCTATTGGCATTCAGCACGAGACTTGCAATATGTAACGTAATTACAATATGTAATATAGGTTTTTTTTCTTTTTTTTTTCTTTTTAATTCAATGCTTCTGGCTGCCTGGACAACTTCCTGCAGTTTTTTGGCCAAATATCAGAAGTGAATTGCCATTGCCTCCTTCCTAGGGCTGAAAGAGAGTGACTGGCCCAAGGTAACTCAGCTGGCTTTGTGCCTAAGGCTGGACTAGACCTCACAGTGTCCTGTTTTCTAGCCTGATACCTTAACCACTATACCAAACTGGCTCTAACATAGATTTAAAATGTGTAATTACAATATGCAGTATAGATTTAAAATACACTTTATTTATTTATTATCATATTTGTATGGCTGTTCATCTTGCAAGACATCTAATTGTATATATCATTCTGTTTGACTTCTAAAACGTATTAGGTATGCCTTATGAGGTATATGTCAGTATTAAACCGCATATTATAAAACTGGTTTGTTTCAACAATAAGAAAGTAAGCTTCAACTAACAAAAATTGAATGCTTCTAATCTCTCCATGAATTTATGTTAAAAAAAGAGGAAAAGACTGGACTTGCTACCTGCTCATTTTAATCCCAATAGACTATGTATTTTACAATTGTTTTAGAATGGCTAACCAGGCTAGGTTAGCCAATCTAAATTCAACTACCAAACATTTAAATAGGGGAAAAAAGCTATATGTATATACAGTATCTTGGGCAAGGACATTTTATCTGTGAATATAAATCTCAGAATTATTCTGATCATGTACATGAAAGAAACCACTAATGAACCAATGGGATTTACTCTAATATAAATATATAATATTTGGGGGGGGGGATTTGAATGGTTCTTTATTTAGTCAATACTTTGGGAAATATATCATATTTGTTTGGTCGGCAATATGTTGTAGAAGGAGAGACGGTACTGTAATAAATATTAGACCTTAGTCCTGACTAATATAAATAAATTTATTAAAGTCCATTTATAATTCTTGTAATGTAACTTTGGGCAGATATTCAGGGCCAAGATTATTAAAATTCTTACCCTGATCAACAATCAAATGACCCCTCAGGAATGTAAATATAATGGCAACATCAAAGAGGTCCAGGGTCAACATAGGTAGGCCAGGCCTGCCAAGACTGATACCGCTTGCAACCCTTTCGTTCATGCCTCATTTTTTTAATGCTTTATACAATAGTCAGAAAGCATCCAATGAAAGATTTACGAAGTGGCAACAGCTATTTTACTTATTTGTTTCTTACTTTCTAAAATAAATTACTCATTTTGATAAGAAAAAAAGGCTTAGCACAACAAATTGCAGTCCATTCCTATAAAATCTGATCCTATGGTTTAAGTCATTAAAACGCAATATGCTCAAAATATTTTTTTCAATGCTGTTAGTGTTGGAAAAATGACTTTGTTCCTGGAAAAAAAGGAACAGAAGAAGTAATAAGGATGGTGTTGTAGTCAGATACAATAATGGCTTTTACAGAATGGCCCAGTTAAGACCACTGGGTCCAAGGTCTAAACACTACCAGCTGCACCACTGCTTGATTTTAAATAGCGTGCATTATTCTATTAATAAGCTATAACTAAACAGAAATGGTGAAACTAAACATGACAGGTTGTTTCAGAATTTTGCCTCCTACTAAGGTTGGCCTGTGGCATTGAGCCTCCTACCAATCTATGACGCAGATGTCATGCAACAATTTTAACAAGAGTGGTCTGCAGTTAAAAATAAAACAAGAATAAATATTTAAAAGTGACAAGCATAAAGCAAGCAATGACATATCCAAGTTGATTATCAAACTTTGCTATTGTTTTGCCACCTGGTGAAATGATACAATCTA